GGCTGCAATGGTTTTGTTTGTGCAACCACTTTTTAATTTTATGTAATCAAAATTATCCATTTTACTTCCTAGGATGCTCTCTGTCTCTAGTTTGGTCATAAACTCTTCCCTTATCCATAGATCTTACAGGTAATTTTTCTATCAGTAAGTGATTGGTGGATTCTTTTCACTTCTATCTTACCCTTTAGTTCTAGGATATCAAGGCAGTTTTCCTTTATAATTGCTTGATATATAATGCCTAGGCTCTTTCTTTGCTCATGACTTTTAGGCAGCCAATAATCATAAACTATATTTTTTTTTATTAAGTGTCTACTACATACAAGGGATATTAGGGATACAAAATGAAACAGTCTCTGCCTTCCAGGAACATACACTCCTGTTATATGCATATGTTAGTAAATATAAAGTAACTTGAAAAATAAGAAGTACTAACTGGGGGCATCAGTGAAGGCTTCGTGTAGGAGGTGTCACATCAATTGCTTCTTGAAGACAAGAATTTTGAGAGGCAGGGATGATGCTGCAGTGCTTTCCAGGTATGGTGAATAACTTGTGGGAATGCAGATGTCAAATCTAGGGAATAACTAGTAGTCCAATATGATTGAAACATAAAATTCATGAAAGAGTATTATGAAATGAGTATGAAAGGATAAACCGGAGACAAATTGTAGAGATCCTAAATGTCAAGCTAAAGAATTTGTATTCTTATTATATAAATGATTGAGAGCCATTGAAGGGACATGTTTAAACCTGTGTGTAAGGAAGATTATTTTGACCACTATGTGGAAGATAGATTGGAGATTAGAAGCAAGAACACCAAATAGGAGTCTATTATGTAGTCTAAGTGAGAGGTGGTGAGGAGTTGGCCTGGGATTGTGTCTGAGTGGAGAGGAGACATATTCAATATGTCATAAATGTAAAATTGAAAAGATGTGGATTAGGATTTGGTGGATGAGGGAGAGAAAAATCTAGAATGACTCTGAAGCTATGAATTTGAACTGAGAAGATAATGGTACCTTTAGCAGAAATAGGAATTTGTCAGAAAAATGGAGTGGGAATGGGGGTAGGGATAAGAAGTTACATTTTAGATATGATGAGTTTGAGATTCAGAACATTTCAGTTATTCTGAAGATCAGGAGCAGAAAGAAAGAATACTTACATTTGTGAATTATCTGCATAGAGATAATACTTGAATATAGAAGTTAACAAAATCTCCAAGACAGCACATTTAAAGAGAGAAGAGGGCTCAGGACAGAACCTTGACAATAGCTATGATAAGAAGGCAGGAGGTAGAATGCTTTATTTCTGGAATTTCAATCTACACCAACCTGGTCACCAAATTTGCATGTGGAATAAAATATCAATAAGTGATGTTAACTATGTGTTATTGAATTTTTCAAAATTCATGTAAAATGAATATGAAATCCAATCTCTCTTCTCTATCACCACAAATTGCAACATACTCCCAATGTTTTCCCTTTTAGTAAAGAAAAGAAAAATCCTTCTAACCAATTTATTGAGCAACAATATTGTGCAATTCCTCAATGCACAGCAGATGGCACATTTGCACATAAGTAATGAGTGTCCTGCTGTTGACGCATGATGTTTTAGCAAGAACTGATGCGATACTTTTTTTTCTCCCCTTCCTTTCAGTGTTATGACATCAATTCTCCAGGAAAGAAAACCAGCTGGGAAAATGTTCAACCAGCATAATCTAAACTATATTAGGTTCCATAAACTAAACTCCCTCATCTTTAGTAACTAAAAGCACAGTTTTGCTTTAAAAAAAAAATTCTTTTGAATACCCACATTCAACCATATGAATTTACTAACACTTTAAATTCCACATTTTCTATCTTATCCAGCTGCATGATCTATGTGTGCCCAATAAAATATCTCAAAATAACTACATCCACTAATTCAGACTTAAGCAACAAAATTAAAGAAAGCCCTAAAATAGTCAACTTTGAGTAAGAGATGCTTACACATACCAAAGTTGTAAATTGTAGCACAGATAGTCTACTTTGAACAGCCTTTCAAATTGTCAGTAAACTATAAAATTGTATTTGAATTTAATCAGTATTCATCACTAAAATTTCTATAATTTATAAGCCAACTCTTTTAAAAATAAAAATATATGAAACAATTGTATTTTGCTACTAACGGGAGTTTATAGTGAACCATTTTTAAATGATTCTAATACACTGATATGTAGTTTTGACCAAAAGTGTCATATTGACATAAAAAATTCCAGATCTTTCCAAACTTCAAAAGATAAGGATTTTAGTATTGTACTCCCCAACTCTCCAGCTCCAGTTACTTAAAATAATGTGATCAGTGTTCAGCAGTGGAGAGGACACTAGTCTTGAAGTTGGAAGAATTCTAGGTTTAAAACCCATCTCTAATACTTATTGGTTCTGTGACCATTTAACCTCTGAGCCCAAGTTTTTTCATCTGTAAAAGGAGAATGAGATTACCTATTCCTACTTCATAGGGTAATTAGAGGGATCAAGTGAAATGTAAGTTTGTAAACAGTTTTGAAAATTTTAAATTCCTAAAGTAAATGCCAGATATTATTAATAACTTTAAGTATATTAAAATTATAAGTACAAAGGCAGGGTCAATCAATATTTATGCAATCACATCACTCCAGTCCAATTAAAGATAAAAGCCTCAATTAATCAATCAACTGTTGGCTTTAGATAATGCGTCAAAGGTTTTTTGAACTGCAATGATGTTTGAATAGGCCAAGCAATCTTGACCATACCCAAGGAATCATCTATAAATTATCAAGCTGGTTAAAACTGGATACAATAAAGAAGGTGCAGCAAGTATGATATTCCAATAAACCTTCTGAAAAGGAACTAATTAGTGGAGTGGGGGAGTGGAAAGGAGGACAGGCCTCATTTCTGGTTTCCTTTCTTTCCACTTTCTTTTCTTAAAAGAGGACCTTACAAGCTTCAAAAGATCCAAAGGATTTTGGACTTCACATCTTCCCATCAGCATCCTAGCATCACCTCCCCTCCCCCAGGACAACAGCCTGGCAGCGGAGTCAGCATTAGGAGCCAAGGACAGATTGGATACAGATTCCCCATGCTCAAGAGTAACTTCTTGAAAACCTCACAAATGAAAGAAAAAAAACTTCCAGAAACCAGGAACTGTGAGTTATCTCTGCCACTTGTACTCTCTATGCTTACACATATTTAGAACAAACATTTTTAACTTTTTGTTAATATAGTTTTTATTTGTTTTGGCTTTTAGAAGTCAATAGGATGTTCTGAGTGAAGAAACAGGACCTTTCCATTACAAATACTAAACATCTTCAAAACTGGCTCCCCAGGGCTCCACATCAATATTCAGTAGGCAGAACAGTCTACGTACCCCAGTGACTAGGGCTCCCATTGGTCAGTCCCCCATTACATTCCAACCAATACAAGAGTGTCCATATGAATCCCTTATGTGAAAGAAAAGAGAATGGGTTGAGCTCTCAGAAAGATAAGATTTGCAGTATATTAGAGGGAGTTTGTTTGGTGAATGTGAATTAGGAATCTCTTTAAGGTATATATCTATAATAAGCAAGGATGTGTATGGAAGAGTAACAAAGCAGACTGAGGAGGGAATTTTATACTAAGGAGATAAAAAATTAGTTTAAAAAATGAAGTAGAATAGATTTTCTAAAACAAATTATATCTATATATATGTGTGTGTATTTTATATATACATGTATGTATGTGTGTATATATATGCATATATATGTATATATACTCACACACACATACATATATATACTCATTGGTCAACCCTGAAGGGCAAAAAATTACACAGTACAGTGTTGCTGTAAGTATTTAGGACTTTTCTGATATATAATGTTGAAAATGTTGAAATCATCATGTACTACAGTTTGAACCAGGGATTTGGATCTGGGGTTGGAAAAAAATGAAGCTCCAGAAAACCTGAAAGAGAATTTTGGGAAATTTATGTACATATATTTCTGTGCATGGCTAGAGTAGTGAGAGATGAATAGCCAGAGTGCCATTCTCTTGCAATGTTGGGAAAAATTAAGTAAGATTTCTAGCATGCTGGGTAGACCGCCCCCCTCCCATGGTGAACTTTTGGGAAGATATGTTTCATTGGCCAAAGGGATAGACAGGGATAGATGAGTTTCAATCTATATCACCGGAGGAAAGTCCCCAAAACAATGAGGTAAACATTAATTTCAGTAAATTTCTTTTGGATTTTGAGGTGAATTATTAAATGGTACAATGACAAATGTAAGATTATAAACTTCTTTTTATTAATAAATACTATTAAGTTCAGATATATTATTATATTTAATTAAACATAAAATAAGATGTGTTATATGCCATCTCTGATCAAAATCTAAATTTGAAATGACAAACTTTTTTTTTCAGGATATAATCTAATATTGAAATAATTCCTTGTCATTGAAATGGCTGGGCACTTATAGTTTTGGCAATATTAGTCCTTCAAATGAGTAAAACTGCTGGTTTTTCAAAAATTTTTCTAAATTGTAGAAAAATAACTTTAATTTAGGTCATATTTTATTAAATTTTTTTATTTTACCTTTTAAGAAATTTATAAAGTATCTTTATCTCTGTATTTTATATTGGAATTTGGTTGACAATTTATTACAAGTACCTTGGCAACAATTTTAAAATATCAATTAATTAAAACACAAAAATCTTGAGAAATAAGGAGCAAAAATATCTTTTACACATTTACAGAGAAAGAAACTGAAACCCAGAATGTTAATTATTTGCCCAAGGCAACAGATTATGCTGAGAAGAATAAGAGGATAGTAACATTTCTATATTGAAGGGCTAGATAAAGATCGTATTACTTTCTAATTACAAAGTATGCAAACTATACTGTTTATCAATGTCTGTATCCCAGGTGAAAATTTAGCCTCAATAGATTTCTTTCAAGAATTAAAACCAAAATATCCAAATACTGTGATTAATTGAAATAAAAGACAGAAAGCATCTAGGTAAAATATTTTATTATTAATTATAACAATATGATAAACAAGGTTACAAAAATAACTTTATTAACTAATAATGATGCCATTAATTACAGAAAATTTATAATACAAGTCATAACCACAGTGTTCCCTTGTTTGGGTAAGCTTCCAGCTATACCCATTCAATAGGCAGCATTATTATTTTCCTATTTACATGCAAGACAAATGGTCATAACATCCACAGTATTCCACTTATGGGTTCTCAAAGACAAACACTTTCTGTGCAAATGGAAATATGCCTATTTAAAAGGTACACTGTCAAGACTTTAGGGTCCAAAAGGTTTCTCATGGCTTACATTTCCTTTTTGAAATTCTAAGGGTTATACTTATTTTTAAAGATTGAAAATTAACTTTGGTTTTGAACTGTCTCATGAAAAAATACATACAAAGGCACAAGTTGTTTCTTTAACATGAAACTCCCCTTCTCTCAAATAAGTTATTTACAAAATATACTGAATAATTTATCTTCAAAATGGCTACCTTCAAAAACTACAAGACCTATGATGGAGTTTTGGATGCATCCTGTCATTAGGGTGTATAATAATGTAGTGTCCTATATTCTCTCTGACAACATCATTTCTTCATCATGAATATAATGATTCTTCTCTAAAAGCAAATTGCACAGAAATATCAGGGAAATACTGGATATAAACCTAATTTTGAACAGATAAAGTGTTTTCATTTCTTGACAGTGTTCCTTTTAAAGAAAAAGCTGTGGCTATAACATTCACTTTGTACAGTACCATTGGTACCAACAAGAAATATTCACAGGAATAAGTGAAATACAACTTTGCTATCACATCATTATTCTTCTCTTTTCTTGCCCTCCAGTGTCTCATGTTCCTCCTTATATCTCGAAATCACTTGAACACTTGGATAGCAAGCCCTAGCCTGTTATAGAGATTTGACTCCCTATAAACCATTTTACTGAGGCACTGCCACAGAAAACAGGTAAAAAAAAATCCCTACACATCATATAATAACACTTCCCCCCAATAAAAGTATATAAAAAGGTTGTGTGCCTCCTGCCCAGCAGAAGGATAATAACATATTTTAGGTTTTTTAACATTATTCTTAGTAGAACAGAACACTTACAAATACACCAGTTAGGAAATATCCATTTTTTAAAATTGTCAAAACAGAAAATGATTGCAGTCTTTTAATCTAAGAAGTCTTTCTCTTGATAACTCAAAATAATGTTTCATCCTAATTAATTTATTTCCTTTTTTTCCCAAAAAGATCTTAGAGTTGCAAGGAAAATATATAAATTTTATTAGTGTTATTCTTTATTCAAGATGAAAAACATTAATCACAAAATAGATTTTTATGTATTTTACCAAAAACTATCAATGTGATTACACATTATCATACTAGTTAAAAGTGACTTGGTCTCTTGTCCTTTCTCTCTCTCTCTCTCTCTCTCTCTCTCTCTCTCTTGCTCTCTCTCTCTCTCTCTCTCTCTCTTTAAATTCTTATTATACTTTCCAGAGTTCACTTTAAAACAAATGTAAGTTTTCTAAGAATTAGACCAAGTTATCAAATTACTCCAATTTTTTTTGAGGGGGGGGTCAGTTTTTGAGAATAAAGAATACATATTTTTAAAGGGATAGAGTTGTGTCTTATGTCTCTAGGTACGTCTATCTACTTTACCTATCTATTCATTTTCCCATTCATGGGAATGTATAATAAATGACAGTGAAGTGTTTGTTTTTCAAAGATATAGGGAAAAGTTCTTTTTAAAGTATCTAGGCACTGTGTAAAACTTTTTTAAAAATAGTCTTTCATATGTGAGCTACAAACAATGACACTGAGACCATGACTATATTAAGGATATGCATTTGAACATATATGTCTTCTTTCCAACATACTGCATTTTGCCTGGTTAAAATGGTGATCAGTAAAAGAGAATGAAGTCAAACCAAGAGATTTGGGATGGATTCATCTTGCTTTATAGATAACTCCCTGAAAGCACTGTCTGCTTATTCTTTTCTTGAAGGATCTCGACTACCACATCTCTCTAGGTTCTAGCATCCTTCATTGAATGGTTTATCTCACAACCAGGTTTTCTTTCTTTTTTACTGGTTCCTACCCCAAACACTTCAGTATAATTTCAAAGAGGGTTATGTTAAAGACTAGAGAGTGTGAAAGCATCTGGGACCTAGTTGTGGTTCTAGGTTTTAAGAGAGATAGAGACAGAAAGACACACACAGAAAAAGAGAGACAGAGGCAAAGACAAAGAAAGTCAAAGAGACAGAGGGAAAGAAATATGGACAGATACAAGCACAGAGAAAGACATAGAGATAGAGAGAGAGCAATTCAATTTCATAGGGATTGTATCCTGCCAGGACCAAATGAGTAAATAACTATAGCTCCCAATGATCTCAAATTCTGAAGGATTTTTTGTTATGTTTGTGAGAAACTTGCCACATTATTCCTTTTCATAATGGACTGCAATCAATAAGACAGAATTCAGACACTGTGTTTCCAAACAAAATCTCTACATGAAGAGCCAGGTCAAAAGACCTTGTTGGTCTTCTTTATTAAAAACTAAGTAAAAATTTCATCAAAAATCTCTTGTAGCTTTTGAACAGATCAATTCACAGTGAACTTGATGCAATGCCATACTAGAATGATCCCATTTCATCGTTAAAGATGGCTTCCTGTATAATTTTGTTCTTTCCTCCTCTAAATAGATTTTTCTTTATGGGATCATAGTCTTAGAGCTAGGAGGAATAAAGAGGTCAGCTTTTCCAATTCCATTATTTTACATATCAGGCACTGGAACCCAGAGAGAGATTAAGAGGGCCACCATTAACACATATTATAAATGGCATAAAAAAATTTGAACCAGGGTCTTCTGCCTCAAAACCCATGATTTTATCACAACATATTGGATCAGGAGAAGGATTTTCCATACAATTTTAATAAGTCCACATTGAGGGGCTACTTATAGAGTAGAGCTATGTGATTAAAATATTTTCAATACCAATCAAATTATTTCAATAGCTGTTCTTAAGTAATCTTGGTATTCATCTGGCACTATGAGTTTTTAAAAGAATTAACTTGACTTATTGTTTAAATATAAGAAAAGGAATAATTTATTTAGAGCATCTTTTAATCAAAGAAAGAAAGTTTTTCCTCTTAATTTGTGTATCTACATAGAATCTAAAAGATTCTTTAGGCAGAGAATATAAGTAACTTGCATAAATAAATGGACTTGAATTGAGTGGGGAAAGATTATATGGATATCCATTCTACAAAATCACCAACAAAGCACCTAACATGCTAAGAGTTGGCAAATACCATAGAATAGGACTTCTTAGTCTTCAGTAGGTTATGATTGCAGAGATGCCTATCAACTTTTAGTAGTGCTAACACACTGCATTATTTGAACAAAAACTAAGTTAATTTCTTTTATTTTTGGCACTCTTCTGTATTCCTTCTTCTCTAGCATTGAGAAACTGCTATACTGCTTGACAAGAAACCAGAATTACATGGTTCCAAAATAGTGAGGACCGTGAACTACATGCCATGACTCTGTGTGTGTGTGTGTGTATGTGCCTGTGCATGAGCGTGTGCAGGCATGAAAGCAATGAGAATGGTTATCTTAAATGATATAATGGAATGTAATTTAAAGGAACTCTTTAAAAATGAGGATAATATATAGTGGTGATGAGTTTGACATAACATTATTTTTAAATTGTGATTTATTATTAAGGTACTAAACTTGGAAAGTGGCATAGGGAATTTAATTGATGTGTTTCCTTAAAAATCTTTTATCATCTAGCAATAATAACTTTGTAATTTTTTTTACCCATTCAAGTATCTTCAGGAGATATGTTACTATACTTGCACATACCTTAATTCACTTCAACATTTATAAAATAACACTGACAGACAGAATGACAGAAAACACTCATTATATCAATGAGTATCTTAATAAACTTGACAGTCAAGTAGGGTGTTTTTTTTTTTTTTAGGATTTTTATATGTGACATTTTCGTTTCATGCGCTCTGTAAGAGGAGCTATAGTGGTTGGAGGCTCCAGCCGCATTTATTTCAACTATGACTGAGGTACCTTGTAAGTCAATATGATTTTGTGAATCCATTTTGCATAATAAGCTACTCGAACAAAAATCCCAGGGCGGTTTGGAATGGCACAGCCACGACCAGGTACAATAACACCAATGACCATTCTCATTTTATGTTGTTCACAAACCAGTGGGCCACCATAATCTCCCTAGGAAAAGGACATGCATAGCAAATAGCATTATTCTAGAGATAAAAAGATAATTCTTTATAATTTAGTACAATCCATTATAATCATATGAGGTTATACACAAGCATTTATTTTTAATCCCATACAAACAAAATTAAAATTAATTCTATCTTCTAACAGGAAAGTGTGCACTGAATGGAAGTTTCAAAAGCAGGAGGCATGTTCAAGGGTTAGGGAATAATCTTATTTAAGGGGGATACATTTGGTGGTGAGGGAATGGCAAGATATTAGGATCTGCCTAACCTTAGTTTTAGGTTTTCTTCCAGTTGAGATGTCATTCCTTTTACTTGGCAAATGCTCATAAGATTTCTACTAATGTGATCAGGCATGGTTTATCTCTTGTTTTATGTTTGGGGGAAAGGGGACAAAGAGTACAAACAATTACTCTGAATAATACCATTACACAAAGCCTTTAATACCTTATAATCACAACATATCATAATATTGCAAAGCCTATAGAAATGCCATTCAGTCATCCCTATATCCTATGGAACTAATTTCCCTTTGTAATTTTAGTTTCATAATGTCATGTTTTTATGGAGTCATTTAAGGTAATGAGATGGACTGTTCTGGTATAATAATATAGTATACTTAGTACAGACTTTTTATTTTTTTAATATGAGAAAAATACAAAGGAAATACACTGGAGAACATAATTCCTATTATACATTCTAGATTTATAGATCTTTTTACCTCACATGGTCCTGTTCCTATTTTTTCAGTCCCAGCACAGATTTCAGATTCATTCAGTGTGATCTTCCCTTGGTGATATTGACTACATTTCTCATTTCCCATGATAAATAAGTGTGCTACACGAAGGAGACCATCAAAGTTGATTACTTAAATAAAAAAAAAATTAAAATCAGTTATAAGTAGAGAAATAATATAGTATTTAAATAGAAGTCCTATTTAAATAAGCAACATAGCATTTTAATTGAAAGTTAAATATCTTACATCCAGTGTATCCCCATCCATATACACTACAAGTGGTCTTTTCAGGAATTGTGCACCCATAATTAGGTAAATCAATTGTACTAACAAAGTCATCCAGTACTGCAGGTCTGAAAAAAAAAAGTCAACACACTTGATTTTACTCAACATTTTTAGAGGTTTTTCCACAGAGGAAGGCAAAGGTATACATCTGCATTATGACCCATCAACTTCTTTCTATGTTAAGAAAAAATAATATATCTTCAAAATAATCTTCAAATTTTAGGTACTAACCTTGCAAGTTTTAGTAGAACCAAGTCTGATCCTTCAGGTCCATATACTAACTGAGAGATATTTCGAACTTGTTTGTGTTTCTCTTCTCCTCTTCCGTGAACATCATGGATTCCAAGCCAAGCTTCGTAGTCCTTCAAATCTTTAGTTCTAAATAAAATATTGAAATGTAACATATAATTTTAGTATAACTTTGGTGGTTATGTTTTTACTTTATATGTGTGTGTTCTTCTTGGTCTATTTGCATAATACAGCAAAAATCAAATGCAATTCAGAATGGCTGTAGTCTACAAATAACAGCATGGAGGACAACACATTTGTAGGTAGAGATCCTGATTAAGCACAGTTATACAAAGACAGTCCGTAGAGTAGCTCAAATTATATGTTTCCTACAAATCCCTATAGCCTGCAGTATAGTGAAATTTAAATTCAAGCTCTACCACTTACTTCTATCTAGTCAGAATTCATTTCTGGGCCTCATCTCCTACTTCTGTAAAATTAGGAGCCTGGGCCAAATTATAGGTAAGGTCTTTTCCAGCTCTACATCTTATCTGTGTGTTAGGGGATGTGCCACTTATGCACCAAAGTGGGCATAGAAGTGCTTTGTGAATTCTGTATCTTTAAAATACTTGGGTTCAAATCCCCACCTCTGACACAACCTGGTTCTATGAGACTTTGGGCAAGTCACTGAACCCCTCAATGTTCTAAGCAGCTATTTCAGAAAAGTTTCAGATACGTGTTAGTCTAAGAATTTTCCTCACCATGGCTAACCTCCACCAATTTAAACATGTCTAAAAAAATCAATTTTGATAAATTTAAATTTGCAATGAAAATAAAACACTGACAAAGATATTTACTAGTTCCAAAAACAAAAGAAAAAGAATCATGTCTAGTAAGAAGTAGGTGAGGTGGAAGATTTCTTAAGGCATATAATATACTGTGTCTCTCCCCTTCCTGAGGTTGATTTTCATAGGAATTTATTTGAAGGATAATGCATATGCAGATTTACAAATGCCAAATGAAATGAAGCCAAGAGCAGTCTGTGGATTAAAATATAAATAAGAGTAGTAAATCATGTACTGTCTCCTTGATTTATATCTCCAAGCAATAAATGTACATGAATGGAATTAATAGCAAAATAAAAACTAACAAAATCAAAATTATTCTAAATTAATATTTAATTTTATAGATATCTTACCGAGAAGGGAAACATTGTCTTGCAGTTAAAACCCAGCTTTCTTTTATTAATGAACCTCCACAGATATGCCTATTTCTGTGAGGAAAACAATAAGAAAATGTAACAAGTAACATAACAAGTTTGATTCAACAGACATTTATTAAAGCACATGCTAAAAGCAGTAAATTGTCACACCCTTTCCAGTAGGAATGAGAGGAGTAATATGTTTATCATTCCCAGTACAAGAGAAGATGTGAAAGCCGGATGAAAAGGGCCAGAGGGCAAGGTGCCTTGGTGGATGGCAAGATGGACTATGAAATATAGTCTAGCCCAGGTTGGATATAAAGGGCTGAGGTGAGTTTGCACTCAACCACCAATCAGACAAATTCAGATTTTACTTATTTCTGAATAGACATTTCTTGATAACAGAATTGGTCTTTATCTTCAATATTTTGTATTACATGATTTTCTAATTTCATTATGCTTATCTCTAATTACATTGCTTCTACTGTATAAAGTATATGTAAACATTATCTGTGTATATATGTACAAATTGCATAGTTGTAACATACAATGCAATCTAAATAATATGTACTAAAATGAGGAATCAGAATTTAGATAATATAACATAAAAAAGAAATAAAAATGAGGGTGAAAATTCCAAGAATGCTTTATTTAGCCTTGAGTATGGTCTATGGTAGCAACTAGTAGAATGTTAGCTCCTTGAGGGCAGGGGCTGTTTTTAGGATTTTAAAAAATATCAAAAAATTATTGATTTTTTTTCTTTTACAACACCATAATTTCCAAATGTATCCATTTTCTTCCCCTATTTTAGGGGAGAAAGAAAAGAGGAAAGCAATTCGGCAAAACTAGTCAACATATTAATCTATTCTGACAATAAATGTAAAATTTTCCTACAATTTTCTCAACTTCTTCCAAAAAAAAAAAAAAAAGGAACATAAGTACATTTTCTCAGTTCTTCTTCAGGAACAATCTTGTTCATTATAATTGTAAAGTATAAAATGTTCAGTGTTGGTAGTGGTTGAGCTCTTCATTTACATTATTGTAAGCACAGTGATACAAGAACTATTTAAATGATAGAAAGACTGCTTTTCATTATGTCTTTGTAACTCCACACCTAGCCCAGTGCCTTGTTTATATTAGGCTTTTAATAAATATTTGATTAATAGAATTAAATGAATATTATTTTTAAAAAGGAGTCTAGAACTAAAAATATATCTCTCCTGGAAAATTACATAGCATCTACAGTTCTCCCTCCTCCTAATTTCTAATATTAGATTCTGATGGCTATTGTTTTTTTCTCAACCAGTTTGATTTATATAATGTTATAAAAATATGAACAAAATAGGCTCTCCACCCATTTTCCCTTATAAGATTAGTCTGCAACAGAATCATATTACACCATTCATCTTCTAGAGATAAATCCCTAAAACAAAGATATTTTAAATTCTGGATATACTATATGACATAAATGGATTTACAGTAACAAAACTGATATGCTCTAGAATGAATAATTGTGTAGATCATTTAGATGATAGGTTCTATATTGAGAATACACAAATATATAAATGTGTATGTATGTGTGTACATATATATATGTACATATATATGCATATATACCCACATGCACATACACACATACATACACACATATCGGGGCCAGTTATTCTTAGCATACATACATGTATGTATATTTTTTATATATGCTTATACATAATAGAAATGGAAGTTAGAGAAACTTTTAAAAATTAATAAACTGAATACATATTTAGGTATTCTGCCTGAAATATAATAATTACCTGTATTTCAAACTAACCATCCATCCCACATTTGTTTGTGTTGGGATTCCATTTACTACTCGTAACTGTTTTGTTTTTGCACAGGAAATGACAGGATCTAAAAATAGTCCCAAACATAGCATTTAAAAACAATACACATGTATGAAGTCCAAATATATGCATAGGTTATGTTCCAAAGTATCATTTGTAAATTGATTGCTTAAAACTGAGATTGCATTTTTTCATTTAAAAATACTGTTTACCAAATTGTAACCTATAATCTGTGTAACAGAAGTCTACTATTGATAGCACAACAGAACCTTATCACCATATGCAATAATGTTTTTTGAATGAATAAAATGAAATACCTGGAATTACAAGGGAGGCAAATTATATTGTAACATTTATCAAAATATTTAAAAAAAAGTCATAAAGCCCAAGTTAAGAACCTTTGATCTAAGACTCATCGGATAAACTCTAGATGATTTCGTTATTGATGAATTGATTTTGGTGATTCTAGCACTAGGAACGTTGCTGATGAGACTAATTCTGGAACTGAGGGGCTGATACCCCATTTAGTAACTCTAGAACTGGTGGCAGGTGTAGGGGAGGGTTTTGGAAGAATAGAAATGGGAGCAGTTGTGATGGCTTAAACTCCATTCCTTCCCCCCCCCTTCACCCTAATAAGTATCAGTCCTGTTTCTTATGCTCTCATTCTTAACCAATCTTAGAGTGAGGTAAGAAATAAAGGTTGGAGTAAAGAGGAAGGGCTGTCCCAACTAATAGGAAATGGTAAAGGAGAGGAGAAAATAGAGAGAAATCCCAAGCACAGACAGTGGGGAGGGAAAGTGAGTTATTCTGTCTACTTATCTGGGATTCATGAAAATCTCTTTGCTCAAAAAACCCACAAAAATGTGTTTCAATTATGCAAATTAGTAACAACTAATCCAGCAATTCCAAAGCAAATAGGTCAATGTGGGATGGAGGGTTCACAAATGATGATCCATGGTACCAAGAAACTCGGTCCCAATCAAGAATTCCACATTGTCCTCCTACTGTAACTACTATGTGAGGTCTGGGAGAAGGCAATGGTGTGAAAAGCCAGTTTATTGCTCAAGATACATTCTGCTACAATTGCATTAGGCACTGATTCTTTTGGCATTTGCTCCAAATTCAAGTCTACCAGAATGTTTTAGCATGATAGATGCATACTTGGAAAGGGTCAAGGTGGTCATAGAGCCCTACCCCCTTATTTTACAAATGAGGAAAATGAAGCAGAGAAAAGTTAAGTGACTTGCTCAGGCTAACACATCTAATAATTATCTGAGACAGGCTATGAACCCAAGACTGTCCTGATTCCAGGTCAGTGTCCCCTCTTCTATACCATGCTGGCTCCCACAAGTGCAAATTTCCAAAGATTTCTTTTAAATATTACTGATAATTAAGTGATTGGAAATATATTTCCTAGAGATATAGTAAGATACCCCCTTAGATCACTGCCTTGTTGTGGTAGAGGGGCTTGCATAGCTCAAAGAAACCATGAGCCATACCCTTCAGTGTCACCCAAGATGGATAGGTCATATTGGAGAGTTCTGACCAAAGGTGATCCACTGGTGAAGGAAATGGCAAGCCACTCCAGTGTCTTCACCGAGAAAACCTCATGGACAGTACTAAAATGATAAAAGAGATGACATTAGAAAATGAGCCCCTCAGGTCAGAAGGTATCCAATACACTACTAGGGAAGAGTGGAGGACATCGACAAGTAGCTCTGGTACTAATGAAGCAGCTGGGCCCAGGCTGAAAGGAACCTCACCTGAGGATGTGCCTAGTGATGAAAGGAAAGTCTGATACTGTAAAGATCAATATTGCATGGGAACCTGGAATAGAAGATCTATGAACCAAGGTAAACTGGTTGTAGTCAGGAATGAGATGAAAAGATTAAACATTGACTTCTTGGGTGTCAGAGAACTTAAATGTATGCGAATAGGTGGATTTAATTCAGGTGATCGTTACATATACTATTATGGGCAAGAAACCCTTAGAAGAAATGGAGTAGTCCTCATAGTCAACATAAGGGTGAGAAAAGCAATACTGGGGTATAATCTCAAAAATGGCAGAATAATATCTGTTTGAATCCAAGGCAAACCATTCAATGATAGGGGATTGGAATGCTGAAGTAGAAAATCAAAAGATAATTTGAATAACAGGCAAGTTTGGCCTTGGAGTACAAAACGAAGCAAGGTAGAGACTAGAGTTTTGTCAACATAATTTGCTTGTCATAACAAACACTCCTGTTCAACAACCCAAAAGGTTACTCCACACATGGAAATCACCAAATGGTCAATATCTAAATCAGATTGATTATATACTTTGCAGTCAAAGGTGGAGAAGCTCTATACAGTCAGTTAGAACAAGACCTGCAGCTCATTTTGGCTCAGATTATAAACTTCTTATTACAAAATTCAGACTTAAATTGAGGAAGGGAAAACCATCAGACCATATTAGGTATAATCTAAATAATATCCCTTATGAATATAAGTGGAGGTTATGAATAAATTTAAGGGATTAGATCTGGTAGATAGAGTGCTTGAAGAACTATAGACAGAGGTTGGTAATATTATACAGGAGGCAGCAACAAAAAAACATTCCAAAGAAAAAGAAGAGCAAGAGAGCAAAATGGCTTTGAAGAGGCTTTAGAAGTAGCTGGGGAAAAAAGGAAAACAAAAAGTAAAGGAGAAAGGGAAAGATACACTCAAGTGAATGCAGAATTCCAGAGAATAGCAAAGAGAGAGAAGAAGGTTTTCCTAAATGAGCAATGCAAAGAAATAGAAGAAAAAATGGAATGGGGAAAGACAAGAGATCCCTTCAAGAAAATTGAAAGTATCAAGGTTTGTGCAAAAATGAGCATGTTAAAAGACAAAAATGATAGGACTTAAGAGAAGCAGAAAAGATTAAGAAGAGGTGGAAAGAATATACAAAAGAATAATAGAAGAAAAATCTTATCAATAACCACTATGGTGTGGTTTCTGATCTAGAGCCAGACATCCTTGAGAATGAAATCAAATGAGCTTTAGGAAGCACTGCTTGTGGAGGTGATAGAATTCCAGTTGATCTATTTAAAATCCTAAAAGGTGTTGCTGTTAAAGTGCTACATTCAATATGCCAGCAAATTTGAAAACACAACAGTGGCCACTGAATTGGAAAAGATTAGTTTATGCCCCAATCCGAAAGAAGGGCAATGCAAAGGAATGATCAAATTACTGAACAAATGCACTCATTTCACATGCCAGCAAGGTTATGCTTAAGATTCTGTAAGCTAGGCTTCAGCAATATGTGAACCAAGAAAAGCTGGCTTGAAGCTTAACATCAAAAAACTAAGATCTTGGCAACTGTTCCCATCATTTCCTGGCAAATAGAGGGAGAAGAAATGGAAGCAGCATCAGATTTTATATTCTTGGGCTCAAAGATCATTGCATATGGTGACTGCAGCCATGAAATTAAAAGACCCTTGCTCCTTGGAAGTAAAATTATGGTGAATCTGGACAGCATCCTAAAAAGCAGAAATATCGTCTAGCTGACAAAGGTTCAGAGTCAAAGCTATCGTTTTTCCTGTAGCATTACATATGGCCATGAAAGTTGGACTATAATGAAAGCTAAGCACCACAGAATCAATATTTTTGAATTGTGATTCTGGAGAAGACTTTTGAGGGTCCCTTGGCCAGCAAGGAGATCAAATCTGTCAATACTTAAAGAAATTAATCCATGCTATTCACTTGAAGGTCAAATACTGAAGTGGAAGTTTAACTACTTTGGCCACATAATGAGAAGATGGGACTCATGGGGAAAGACCCTGATGTTGGGAAAGATTGAAGGCAAAAGGAAAAGAGGATGGCAGAGGGTGTGAATAGGCAGTGTCATGGAAATAATGAGCATGAACTTGGACATCAGGAGATAGTGGAGGATAAATGGCCCTGGTGTACTATGATCCAAAGGTCTGTGAAGAGTTAGACACAACTGAATGACTGAACTGTGACATAGTAAAATAGCTATGTTTGAGGGATTTTTTTCTTAAACTTTGAAAAGAACAAGTGTTTTATTGCAGTGGTTGATCACTGGAGCACTGTGTTCAATTTGGGGCATCATATATTATGAAGGACAGTGACAAATGAAGCATTTCCAGAGAACAAGGACAAAGATGATGAAGAGACTTGAAATAGTATCATTTGATGACTGCTTAAAGGAACTGGGCATTTTATCCTGGGTTAAGAGTTAAAAATTAGGAGAGGCATACTTTCTATCTTTAAACATCTGAGGAGCTTTTACATTGGAGAGAGATTAAATCAATTAAATTATATTAAGCTGCCAATCATTAAGTTGGAGCCCAACAGAGATAACTCTCAAAAGAGTATAATCTCCTTCATAAGATGAAGAGCACAGAATAAGTCTGAAGAGTATAACAGAATGGTATATCTAATAATTCTTTATTCTCTTCTCCATAATGTGAATTCTCATGATGTAGCATTATGTTAGAATTCAACTCTTAAGATTCTGATATTCTAGAGTGAGCATTTAAAAGTTCAATTCAGTAAATATTTATTAACTGCCTACTATGTGCTAGGCACTGTACTAAGCACTGGGGATATAAAATGAGGCAAAAGACAATCTCTGACCCCAAGGAACTTACAATCTATATTCATAATGCATTTGTGAGGTAAAAATGTTAAACTCTGTTAGCCTTTTACTCCACCTTCTGCTATTTCTAGTTGACCTCCACAGTCCTTGTTATTTTTATATTTATCATACATGTCCAATGACCTAAGTATTTATATTATTTTCCCATGTACTTTGGTATGACTCACTTGATTTGTGAAATTGAAATAATCCTTATACCTCCTTCAACCTAAGGAAGGTATAAAAATGTAAAAGCTTTCAATAGCTTAGCTAAGCTTGGTGCTTAGTAGACACTTTAAAAATGATTTAAATAATCTTGAATAAAATAGGAAACATGGAAGGATAATATTTTGAACATGAAGGAAGAATGGCAACTGAATAATTTTTAAATTATTTTTTCTCATGCCTCCATGAAGTCATATTGTTATACATTCAGTTATACTAACAGCTAAATCAACCTAATAATCATATATTAAATGGCTAATATGTCAAGAATATTATGCTACTTGCATTACTTTATATCTCTAATGGGTGATATAAACTAAGACAGATGCTGGCCCTTGTGAAGCTGATATTCTATTTGTATTTCAAACTGAAATACAAAAACAATGTCCAAAATCAAATAATACTTACTTTACATGATTTACTTTGCCAGTGTCTCTTTCTTTTTCCCTTACATACACATATAATGATCCTCCAATAAAATTAACAAGTACATTTTAAAGAGATATTATTTATCTCCCTATTACATGAAATTAAAGAATTTTAAATCCTTGACAATAAAAAAAGTCTTAGGAAGAAAATTTAAGCAAATCATGAAAGATCCTGATACAGGCACAAAGGAAATATAAGTGTATGTGTGTGTATGTATATGTATAAATTAAGTGCTTTTATGAAGATTACTTACGGTCTAAATTGACAATTGTAGGTGTAGTATCACCTTCACCTGTAAAAGTAAATGAAATGTTTTAAAATTGATGAAAAATGACTGGAAAAATTCCTAAAGTAAGTAGCTATGTAAAGGAAACAAAATACTTCAAGATGCTGTAATTACCTTCTCTCTCTCTCTCTCTCTCTCTCTCTCTCTCTCTCTCTCTCT